ACCCTGTAATAGCGGCTAGTCAATGTTGTGCGCCAAGGCGTGGGTCATGGGTTCGTGGGTCGTGGGCCGTGTTTTGTCGTCCCCCGCAGTGGTGGGTCTTCCTTTTCCGACCCCGCCCCCTCACCCTTCCCCTCCCCCACCACACATCCTTGGCTGACTGCCTCGGACTTGGCCAGTGACCGGCTGGGCATAAGTACAGTTGTGTAAATACACTAGCGGCCAACGCCGCCGCGGCCCAAGAATTTGTATTTTATCAGCATCATTCACATCGCGTAGTCAAGGACTCCCAATATTTACGCGAAGTATACACATACACACACACACACACACACACATGCAGGCGGGGATTGTGTGCGAGTGTGAGTGTAAGTGGGTTCTTGCCGAAGCAAACAGGACATGTGATGGTAATGGTGGTGTATGGGTGGGGGGTCTTTGGCAGCGCGAGGGTTTTGCACACGGCTTGTCCGCGCTGTCCGTGTGTGAGTGTATGTGCACACAAAACAAAAAATTATATTCGATTTGAAAGTAATTTTTAAGCAAGTGACCATTGTTTTTGCAGTAATCACACTGCATTTTAAAATTGTTAATGAAAATCCCCTCAAACTTAGTTTTGTGAGCCTAGTTTAAATATTTAATATTATTATCTACAAGGTTTTGGACCGAAGTTGATCAGCCCATCTCTTAAAAATTTGATTTTTCGGGTCTATTAAAGTATTTAATATTCAAAACATTTAAATTTAGATCAGATTTGCGTTTGCATTTTAAAATATAAAAAAAAACAATATTATGTATTTTGAGTCTAGTTTAAAAATGTAATATTACTATACGTAATAAGATAATTTCCAAAAAAAAAGGTCGCCACTTTTTTCTGCATGTGTGCGCGAGGACACACGTTTGCGCGGACTGGAGTGGTGGGGTGCGATCCTTTCATTTTATTCCTAAATGTCCTTCCTTCAATATTTCAAACGTGCTTCGTGACGCGTCCGTTTTGCAAAGGCTGAACTGAACTGAGCTGAACTGAACTGGGCGACTTGCAAGTGGAAGTGGGCCTTCGACGCTGCTTTCGCTGCTTTCGATGCCTTCGCCTTTGTCGCGCTCCGTTCTTCAGCCTGTTGTTATTGTTCGCCGCTGACATGTTGCTGCTGTGCCGCGGTGAATTGAGCGGAGTGGGTGGTTGTATGGTCGAGTGGGTGGGGCAGCAGACACGCAGGGACGCTGGCTGGGAGGAAAAAACTTTTATCTCGGCGCATTTATTTTTCTATTCCACTTATAATATATGCCAGAAACAGGATACACACACCCACATGGGCATATATTGGATATTTATTTTGTATTCGAACGCCCGGCGACGGACAGCGAACGTGTCAGCATCAGCATCAGGATCGGGATGAGGATGCGGATGAGGATGAGGATGAGGAAGGAGCAGAAGAAGGACCTCACCGGGTCGCCGGACGGTTAAGTGGGGTAGCCCGTTATAGGACTTTCAGGACTGGACCTGAACTCATGGGGGACCGTGTGTGTGCGAGTGTGTATGGCAGTGTGTGTGTGTGTTTGGGCCTTCGTCCGGACAAAGCGACGGACGCTGAAAAATGGCGTGAATTCACTTGGGTGATTTGCGCGACGTCCTGCACGATACACACATTTAAGGATGATGGAAAAAATGTTCCTTCACCTTTTCATTTTCTGCGCTTAGAAGTTCGTCTTGGCACATAGCAAAAAATAAAAATAAAAAACGAGCAAAAAGGTTTTGTGGATGGGGAAGATGCTATGACCACATGCCAAAAATTTTACCCAGGCTCGGGCCTTTTTATTTTAGACATTTTCCTTACTCCGGGATATTCAAAAAATCTGACTTTCTTATTGAAAATTTTGTATCATTGTTGTTATAATTTTGCAGTCTATCTCTCTCTAACTATTAAGTATTTAAATGTTTGTCGAAATGACTGAAGGACTAAATGGTAACAGAAAAGAAATGAACTTATTGGTTTTTTTTAGGCGATTCGTATTATATAAAAATTTAAAATAGGGTTTCCCAATTTTTATATTTCTTATTTAATAACTCTGTTTTCTAACCATTTTGTCTTTTACCAAGTTTCGTATTACGTAAAAAAACATTTCCTCATAATATTCCTTCTTATTAGTCTAGAATCAATATATTTTTATAGTTTAAAAATTAAATATATCAGGCAATGAAAAAATATCTATCAAAACAGAAGGACACTTAAAAACTAACAACCACTTACTGATTTGTTTTTTTTTTAGTTTAAAAGCTGGAACTTAATCAAAAAGATATAAAGACATTTTTTTGACCAAATGTCAGTCTATGTTGATAAAAATATAACAAATTTAATGGAATGTTCAAGGACCATTTCTTTCTTATTGTCTAGAAACAACAAACTGCTTAAATGGTCTTTAAATCAAATTATTCAGACAATGAATAAATAAATAAAAAATTATTAAAAGCATATTTAAAAGCCAATAACCATCGTTTTTGGTTTTGAAGTTTTAAAACAGTATTTTAATTAAAAGACATAAATGTGATGTTTTTCTGAAAGACAGCCTATGTTAATAGGATGTTTAAGAGCCGTTTCAGCGAAAGTCTACTAAACTCCCATGTGCGATTTCATGGACCAGATTTTATGCGGACATAAATAGAATGTTACTTACATTCGGTGGCGGTGGTCAGTAGCAGTAGTCTTATGATCCGCCCGTGATAAACCGCTGAAAAGCGGAAAGCGTTATATAGTAAAGGTACACCTGCCGTTGCTGATTGTTATGACCGAAGCCATTTCCATCAAGTGCTAATATAGCGACGTGCCCGTTGACGCCTCTTCCGCGTTCAGAGCCCCAGTTTATGACTCTAATTGCCCCCAACTTGGCAAAGTTGATACTGGGATACTGGGATACTGGTAACTGCTTATCTGTGCCCAGTTGATATGTTGATGACGTGTTTACTGCAGCATAAAGTCCCTTTTACGACCCATTTTATTTATATCCAAGCGAAGCAAGCTCTGGTCATGAGCCTGTCCTGGCGCCAATAAATTTTTATTAGCCATGATGTGGCTGCTCTTGTTCCTTAAGACGGCCAGCAAACTGATTCCGATGTTTTATTGCCCATTTTGTGGCCATTCGCATGTAATTCGCGTTTTATTTCCCTCACACGGCGATGGGCGTGTGAGGAAATTAGTTTTCAATTAGGTTTCGCTTATTTACTCGAGATAAGCGGTTTTTAGTAACTTTTCCTCAAAGGTCAAAGTTTCTATACCTATGTACAACATAATGAGCTACTCCATGGCCATATGCATTTCAGTGCGCTCTAATTGAGGGATTAGTTAGCCTGATTATCGGGCTCATTAAACTTTCACCAGACAATGGGCCTGTTATAATGCAGTTAGCCCAGCAGGTGCCCCAGTATATAATGTACTTCGTTGTTGTGCATCCAAGTATATATATACAGGTGTTTGGACTGCATTGACATTGACTTTCATCTCATTATAATGGCAACAAATGTTTATTTATGATTGTACTTGCCGACACATGTGTGTGCATGTGTGTTAATAGACCAAATTCCAGGCAAAGTGCCACAGGCATTGGGTTAAACAACTTGTTTTCCTAATTTAATGATAATGAGCTATTTATGGGTGGATCTGGATACTGTATACATGGCATCGGTATATCGGTGTGTGACTTGGCCTGCTACTTATGAGGCTTTGAAGGGAAAGTGTTCCGGCCCCAGTGTGTTGATGTGTCTGAGGATGTGTGAATGTTCCTCCTGCATTCAACTTATGAATGTAAGGCAACTGCAGGCTCCATTATTAATGATATCTGTTAAACATAACTTTGCATTTATTGTTTCATGAGGGTTAATTGGCCAGCATTCAATTAGGCATTAGACAATTAAATATTTGCGGGGTTTTTGTTTACTTAAATTGATTTTATTATTCGTCGTTTAAAATATAATTCATAATATAATTCATTTTTTGTTTCTGCTTGATTGAATTTTATTTGCAATGCACTATTAATATATTAATTTACACCTTCTTATACTTTTGCATTGTTCGTAAAGTAATGAATAAGGTCTAACACTTTTTTATTTAAAAACTACTGTAACATTGTTTCAAAGAAACTGTTAAATACCTTACTAACTTTTTGAAGATTATTCTTTGAATTAATAGAATGTGACAAACTTAGAATACGGTATTTAAAAAAATTAAAATATAGCAAAAACGATATTAAAGTATTAAAGATAACAAGGGTTTTACCACTTGTTTACCGAACATTTAGGAAATTGATCCAATAACTTAAGAAAACTTATTTCCTTAAGTCAGTCTTTTTTAACCCTTTCGACCCCAACTTTTTCCCTGTCGAAAAAAAAATTTTTTTTTGTATTCTGTTTGTATTGGGCCAAGCAGTATTTGAGTAAAGTTTGAACTCCCCACCCCCACTAGTTTGGGCGCTACCGGATGTTGCTTGTGGGCAACGTTGGGCCATAGTGTATATTAAAGAATACATTTTTAGTTGATGGTTATTTTTGTTTATTTTCAATTTTTAAGTATGGTAAGACATAAAACAGTTTTTATTGTTGTTACAGCATAGGTGTACTTTACATTTAATACATTTTGACATTGGGGTTCCTGTCTTACACAGTCTGCAACGCCCTTTTTCAGTAAATACCACCCAATGTTCCATGCAATCGTAACGCATAGAATTTGTAGGATTTGGCTGAAACTTGTATTTTTTGGATTGATTGGAAGACACACTGCTAGTTGGAGAACCCAAAGATATTATTGAGTTTTCTCTTTGCATATTTGATGGCCGACCCCTCTTTTTTCAAATGAAGTAGAGTAAGTACATTGTAGCAGCTCATGAGCAACTTCCATTTGAAATTTGATGAGCGGTATATACTTTTGATTTGGGTTTAGAAAATGAAAATTTTTTCTATACAGCAGCCATGCATTTGTCATTGATGTTCCCAAGCACCAATAAAAATTCTAATGTACCACTTTCTTGAACGGTGGTTTATTTTATATAGCTCCATAAGCATGTCCGCTAAGTCTACTCCTCCCATACCCTTGTTATAAGAGCCTACGATAGCAGGCCTTACAACATCAATGTAAACTTTTTCTTTAGGACTCCATCGTTTGCACATTCCAACTGGCTGATGGTCTTCATACGAAGATAGTAGTTGAACCGACTTATTATCAAACCATTTGACGCATATCAGATTATTGTTTACTTCATATTTTGTATCAAATGATCCTCTTCCACGTTTTTTCAATTCTGCATCTGAAAGAAGTCTACAGCTGCTTATGCGGTTTTTGCGGATAGTTCCGGTTGCAAATATGCCATTTTCCTTCAATGCAACCAAGAGACTAACTGACGTAAACCAATTGTCAAAATACAGCTTGAAAGGTTTGCCTTTGGGAAGACCTTTTGATAAGTATAATACCACATCTGAAGATATTCCCAATCCAAAGTTTGGGCAAGTGCCTTCGCCAACATACAGTGTGAAGTCATAAACTAATCCAGATGTTCCAGCGCGTAAACATTTTTAAACCCCATTTGTGAGGCTTAGCTGGGTTGTATTGCTTATAAGACGATTGGCCTGACAAAAAATTAAAATTGAATTAAAATTAAAATTAAATTTTAATAAAATTTAAATCTGAATACCTTTGTACGCAATGATTTGCTCATCAACGCTTTGATGTTCTTCTTGGGGTAGTTTACCAAAACTTTTTTGAGAATGTCAAGTAAAGGGCGTATTTTGTACAGTTTATCATAGTTCAAATCACCTTTTTTAGTTGTTTTGTATTATCGTTGAAATGTAAACATTGTTTGATTTTTTCAAACTTTCCTCGTGGCATTGCATCCGATATAGCAGAAAGCTTGTATTCTTTTGACCAAGCCATTTTAAATTGAGGTACTTTTATGACACCCAAGTACAATAAAATTCCGATATACCTTTTTATTTGATCTCCAGTACATTGCAGCTCTATGCCGTGCTCTTGCAACCCATACAAATTAGTTTGATTTGTAATTAAATCAATAACATTATTGTCAAAAAGCTGCAGAAATACTCTACAGGGGTCTTCACTTCATCGATTTGGCGATTACTATCTTCTTCCCAAATACACCCTGGAGCTTGAAATGGCCTATTTCTCCACTTAAGTGTTTTGGGATCAACTTTTTCAAAGCAATTATCAGCCACAACACTATTTTCTTGAATGCTTTTTTCATCAATCAAATTTTCAATATGCTCAAATTCTATTGATTCTCCCCTTTCCAATATACTTTTAAATTATTCTCCAACATTCCAGAGATGTCTTCCATTTCATCACCACTTTCTTCGTCACTGGAGACATCCCAATCGAAGTTGACAATTCTCTCAATATCATCATTTGATAAACCTTTTTCTTTTGGTCTCATATTTTGGTGGTGCAATGGCCCAAGGTTGCTCACAAGCAACTTTATTACTTTGAAAATTCCTCAGCTGTTTTTTAATAGAAATCAATTAGATTGAACTACAACATGCATTAAAGAATTCATTTATTAACAAATTTCACTCACATTCTTCAACTTTTAATGCGTAATTAAAAAGTAAATCACTTTCTTTTCAATATACCTCACAATACAACAATCACTTTTTACGCGAGGCACGTCCAGCACATTCCAAATAATTTCGTCAAATGATGCGCAAACTAGAATTTTTTGCTTACATTCTAAGTATACACATCAAAGCACCGTTATCTCGAAGAATAAGCAGACAAAAACAAAAGCACCGACTACCGATAGCCGTTAAACTTTTGAAATTGCTCACAGGCAACTTCGGGGTCGAATGGGTTAAAAAAAGGTCTTATCTAAATGCTGAAAAATGCCATAAGAACTGTGCAAAGACAAGTGATACCAAAAGATAAGACAAACATTAAAAAAATTTTCCTAATGACAGCCACTAAGGCATAAATTATTTACCTCAGAAATATCGGGAACGCATATCTGGGAAAAAAGCGAGATGCCAATTGACAAACAAACAAACTAACAAACGGACAAACAAACGGACAAACAGACTGACAAGCAGACGGACAAACAGACGGACAAACAGACGGACAAACAGACGGACAAACAGACGGACAAACAGACGCTCAAATGTATGCTCGTCTTTTGGTCGAGCTTGAGTATTTATGTCTTCGTGGACCGCAGTACAATATACGCAGCATGCATTTATGCAAATGCATTGCACAAGCACGCACACACATGCATGTTAGATATACTCATGTAATTGCAGGCACGCGCAATTTCTTCAACTTAAGAGTGCATGTGTGTGAGTGTGTGTGTGGCTGGCAAATGAAAGTTATATACTCGCATAATATGCATATTCCCGAGGAATAGAAGGCATGCGCTAGTGTGCGTTCTCGTTCTAATTCTAATGTCCAGCGTTTGAAAGTCTTCAGGATGCGGAATACGTACGGACACACGCACTTAGGCTTCCAGGATATACATAGTCTGTATGTCGGTGGGCGATGGTCGACGGTCGATGGTCGAAGTCCTGGCGTGGTCAGATGGCTAGGATGCAGTCTTGATACATGAGCGGCCATCCCATCCAGTCGGGCATCCGTTCAGGCGCAAAATCTGATGTGGCTGCTCCTACGTTGTCCTTATTGCAGCAGTGCCCCCTTGCCCCTTCCATCGTATCCTTTGCATGCTTTGCATCCTTTCGAATCCTTGCCTTGCGAGCCACGCTCGAAACTTTCTGCCCAGGAAGAAGTAAGCACGTACATATGACTGTGGCTGTGGATGTGTGCATGCCGCATATAAACGTAGAAACGTATATATGGAAGCTCTAGGTAGGTGAGTTTTGCATCATTGGCCGTCCACCTCCACGGATGACCAGCAGTAACCGAAATGTACGATAAGATTTGGCACAGTGGTGCTAAAAGGCTGCATTGCTAGTCGGTTGCTCTCAGTGCGGTCTAACCTCGAGGTCCTTAAAAAGGAAGATTGGTGAAGTACTCCAAACAGAAATTCAACTATTAGATTAGCAACCATCCTTTAAGTTTTTAAGGAGATTAAAAGCATTTCAATTAGGTAACGATTTTAATTAATTAAACATATATATATTTTATAAAATGTTTAAAACTTAGAAACCTCACACCACCTTCTTGTCACCGAAAAATGTAGCTAAGCAAATGTGCTTTTTACTTTATTTTTACTTTTCTATACTTTAAATATTCTCTAAAATTAAAAAGACAATTTTATTTGACCCACTGAATTATATATTTTGTGTAAGAAGTTTAATACTTACAATAGCGAACTATAATTTCATTTATAAATTTTAATAAATTTAAATACACAACTTTGAATATTGTTAACATTGTTTAAAATTTTGATATTTACTTTAATTGATGGTTTAATATTTATCCTTCATTTCGTTACTGAGAAACTAGACCAAAAATGCAATAAAAAATTGTTTAACCCAGTTAATTTAAGTTATTGAAATACCACTTAGACAAATTTCAATTATTTTCAAGTTTTCATATAATAACAAGAAAGAAAGCAAACTTCGGCAAGCCGAAGTTGATATACCCTTGCAGCTATTGCAAGAATTTAAAATTTTTGAAAACATTAAAATTATGGTTTACTTGCGTATATGTTTAAAAACATTCAAGCTATGATGATTTGCAGCTGAATTATTTGATAGTTATTTTATATATTTTTAATATTTCTATGGGGGCTTTATGATATAGTCGTCCGATATTGATAAAATTTTAACCATAATTCTGAAATAATTACCCAATACTATATGTCGAAGAACTAAAAAAAAAATGAAAAACAGCAAAGTTATAATTTTTGTTTTATTTATTTTTCCGATTGTTCCTATGGGAGCTATATGCTATAGTCGTCCGATCCGGCTCGTTCCGACTTATATACTACCTGCAATAGAAAGACAACTTTTGGGAAAGTTTCATGCAGATAGCTTTAAAACTGAGAGACTAGTTTGCATATAAACGGACGGACAGACGGACAGACGGACGGACAGACGGACAGACGGACATGGCTAGATCGACTCGTCTAGTGATGCTAATCAAGAATATATATACTTTATAGGGTCGGAGATGTCTCCTTCACTGCGTTGCAAACTTCTGACTGAAATTATAATACCCTCTACAAGGGTATAAAAACAAAGAGAAATAGCATTAAAATACAAAATAAAAAGAACATTTTATGAATTTATGATACTTGATCGCAATTCGGTTTGTTAAGTTAGTAAAAACTGTGAAATACAATCAGTGATATGGCGAATGGCACATTGTTATTTTATTATCTAAGCTAAGCAAATATCAAAAATGTAATTAAAAAATTCTTTGACCCAGTTAACTTAAATTATTAAGGCACCACTTAGGCGATTCTATTGTTTTATGTTAAATTAAAGTTAAATAAACTGCCAACCAATGGACAAATAAAATATGAGGAATATATCCGCGGTATTCAATCGCAATTAAGTAAAAACAAACATTTAGTTAATATATCAATTGCTAAATTATTCAAAATGTAATTAAAAATTGATTGACCAGTTAACTTGAATTATTGAAATACCACTAGACAAATCTATTTCATTATACCAAGTTATTCCAATCCAATTGCATAGACCTTACTCAAAAAGCTTAAATAAAATGCAATAACGTGAAATATGTCCGCGATATTCAATCGCAATTAAGTGTATGCAAACATTTAGTTAGAAACGCAATGATTTCGAGTTTGAATTGTGAAGTATATGTCCCAATCGGTGATATGGCGAATGGCACTTCGTAATTTTATTATCTATTCTAGCACGGCGCCCGCCTTGGACGAGTGTATGTACTATGGCAGGCGAGTGTATATGCAAATGCCCAGATCCCGAGACTCAAGTGGCCGAATGGGGGTGTGGATGTGGGTGTCCGGTGGTGGCCAGTCCGCCGGAGACTTGGATGGAGATGGAAGTAAAGATGGAGATGGAGGCGACTCCCTTTTCTACGGCAACGGTCTTGGTCAATTGCGACGTCGGCGGCATTCGTGAAATAGCCAACTTTCGTACATACAGCGATGGGGAATTTTTGCTGCCGACCGTCGACCATCTACGTCTCCGTCTTTCATCTCTAGCTCTTTCACTCTGCAGATGCCAGCTGCACATGTGTGTTTGTGTATTAATTTGAACCAAAAACCCACCCACCCAGTCAGCCAGCCATCCAGCCATCCAGCAGCCCATCATGGCTATGCCATAGTAGTATATGCAAGCCATGGCCAGGCCATCCATGGCAACTTGAAAAGTCGAATTTTCGCCATCTCGTTCCGACGTCTCGCGCAGCTACCTCAGTTTTGCTCCTGCTCCTACTGCTGCTTTGCTTTTGCTTCCACTTGGACTTCGGCTTTGGCATCAGGGCATCCAACAACAACATCAGCTCTCAGCTCTCAGCCTCAACCTCAATTTTAGTCCTGGCCATGCGATGCGATGCGATGCGATGGCGATGCGATGCCGATGACGATGGCGACGCAGCAAAACGTGACCTAGCCCGGTTAGGACGTACCCCATATAGACTCCATCGCCAGTGGACCAGAGAAAATCCCCAACCCCCCAAAAGGTCCCCCTTTTTAGCCCACACAACCACACTGGACCACCGGACACGGAGCCATCATCCTCATCAGCTTTAGCCGCCGATGTAGCAAGCAATCGCAAGCCGTATGCAAACAATATTTTACATAGCTACTGTCTGGAGGTTCTTGCTTGCTGCCCGACTTCGTCGGTTGGCCTTCCTTCGTGCCGAGGCCTTCCTTGCCTTCCTTGCTCCTCTTGCTCCTCTTGCTCCTCTTGCTCCTTACTCCTGCAGCCCAGTTGACCAGCATCCCGCTCGATGTCCGAGCAATCGCACTCACACACTCACGTATCCCTCCACTGAGAATGGCAATCTATAACTTAGTTTAAATAGTCAGAAACTATATTAAAATCTATTCAAAAATGTAAGACTTATTACCAATTGCATGATTTTAAATCATTTATAAATACCTGTTTTGACCTTATTTCTATCA